CCCCCCCCCCCGCCCGGCTGCGATGCAACGGCTGCGCTTCAGTCGCGAGCGCGCACGTGCCCTTAATATAAAAATTATCTCTTTCTGTGTCAGTGAACGCATTTATTGGCGAGCACTGCGGCCGATGCTGTTGCTCCTCCTCCTCCTCCTCCTTCTCCTTCTCCTCCTCCACTACCTCCGACAGCTCCATCGGGCTGCAGAGCTTGAGCAGGCTCGTCGCGCGCGACGGCCCGTGATTTCCTTGATTCCCAATTTACAGTTAATTGAATTACACACACGTGCGGTCAGGCCTCTTTATTTTGCTTCTCTCTATTCTAATTGACTTTTCCGGTGGATTACGAGGCGAGCTTTGCTCCTTCATCCTTTCATTTTCGGTAATCCTTTCATTTTCGTAGCTTTAAAAGCGAGTCGTTACAAACGACGTCTACGTGAACTTACTCGAAATCCCTTTTAACGGTATAACTTCATTGAGAGAACGGGAAATTCAGATCGAAGGGAAAGATTTTTAACTCTCGCAGGATTTTAGATTTTGAGAGGTTTCGTTGAAGTTAAAGTCCGTGTTACTTGAAACTTGGATACTTCGAAAGTACGTTTGAGCAAGTTATAAATGCTCAAGAATATTTCTTAAATTACCGTAACATTATGATTTTAGCAGGTTTCTACTTTTCTCCTTCTTTCTTTAGCTGAGCATGTTAGATTAAAAAAAAAAATATATATATATATATATATATATATATACAGTGTATTATTATTATACTCCGAAGTATATAATTAGTAGTAATGAAAGGCAAAAAATAGCAGTTTGGGAATTCTCGACGTTAATAACAACGCAAATGCCCTGTTGTGGTATTAAGGAGAAGTATACAACTCTAATGCCGTTTTTATAAATGTGCAACTCCATTATTCGAGTAAAGTTAATATGAGAAGAAATACATTTTATTTTCTCTATAAATAGATTTAACCGGTTGAATTTAACACAGATATAACTTATTGAATGAGCCTAGTTTCAGAGCTTGACTTTTTTACGCTTACAGTGTGAATTTACTATGAATTTTCCACATAGTCCTGTTTGCGCTGTTTTTAATTTATAAATTAATCTTGTAAGAAGAACTTTTTTTTTATACGTGTAGTTAAAAAATTAAAATATTAGAGGTAATTTTATTTGCGCATACGCGAGTTAAGGTTGAATATGAAATGAGTTTAGAATTAAAATGGAGCTTAAAAGTGTTAGATGTAGATGTACGTAAATTAAATGCATTTAAGTTTTATTAAGTATTGCATATGAAAAAGTTCACAGGCATGAAATAAAATTATGAAGAGTATTGTGAATTACGGAATAATCATACGGAAATAATCGATGAGTTATGAATGACAAATAAGGACGGGTTAGTCAATATTTATGGAATAATATTTAATAATTAAATTTTTAAATCGATTACACGTTATTGGAAATTGGACATAATATTTATTATATGCGAATTAGTCTCAACTGGCCATGTTCTGGGTACATTGGGAGAGCCCGTAGTCACAGGTGAACACAGATGTGGAATACGCAATTCTGCAACAAAGCTACTAATTAACATTCGTCATTCTCTCCTTATATTTTAATCTATTTAATTTTGCTTTTACATGTAAACGGCATCTCGCTCGTAAATATAGGAATAACGAGATTTCTCTTGTACTGGTTTGCCTAGGCACGAGCCTGACTATATAATTTCAGGCTTTTCCAATGAGAATGGGAGCCGATAATTAAGGCATTTAGAACGATAGCATGGGAGGATAATGATGGAATAGTTTTGGAATTTGAATTTCTTCTTCTTCGTAAGCTTCGAATTCGAAATTGCAACAAATTGTTAAAGGCATTTGATCATTTATCTAGCGTATTATCTAGCGTACAAGAAGCATAGGAAATTATTCTTTTTCCACATTTTCTTGCAATTCTCCATAATTTTCGGATATTTAATTGTTCTTAAGCCGTACGAAATACAATGAGTTATTGTTAACTTGTGTTTCTTTATATACAGGCTCACATTATTATTATTATTATTATTATTATTATTTTTTTTTTTTTTTTTTTTTTTTTTTTTTAATTAGTCGAGCATTGTGTAACTTCTGGAAAATTGGTAGCATTATTAGAATGAGCGTTAGTCGGCACTCGATCCATCGATAATACAAGTAATCGCTACGATGCGATTACTAATGATTTGTTATTTAAAATTTCCACCAATTTAATAAGAGAAGTTTTCGTTCTTTTCCACGCTCAAATAGTCTTATGAATATATTTTGATCTCAATTTCCATTGCGTAAGAGATTTTCTTTAATTTAATCAGAGCACCATTCTGTTCAATAATCTTGAAATTTTTTCAACATTGATAATGATCTATTTTAGAAAGTTTTTCATAATAATTGTTCGTTCGTTCATTGCAAATAATCTTTGCGTCGAAAGCATTTATTTAATACTTTTGGCATATTATATAGTCTGGATTAAACGTATCGCTCAAAGAACAAAGGCTGTAATATTGAAATTTCCCTCTGTAATACTTGTTATAAGGTGTCGACTTTGAATAAATTTGATAACTTTGACAATACGTTCTTTGTATATTCTATTATTCGTAACGTAGATTGTGGTCTCTTGTCTAATGGATCCTTTGATTTTGAATTTTATTCGTTTAATAATAGTAACGTCTTGTAATTTTAATTTAATCATAATTATCTTAATATTTATAGACAGGGCGGTTATTAAATGATCGATATTAATTGCTATTTATTTAAAAATTTTACTATTGTCTAGAGCAATCAATTTTTATGATAATATATCGATATGTTAATAATGCAAATTATTGAATTTTATTCAATAAAAAACTTTTCCCCGTTATTTATAACGTCGAATCTAAAATTAAATCACAGTTAGCCTTCGAGTGAAAAATCATGACAAATTAAACGAACGAAATTATTTTATTATTATGACACACGTGTCACTGACCAGGTGATGTCAAGTTTCGTATTTTAGCAACGTGATTACTAAAGAAAATATTTTATTTATCCATTCCAGTAATCATATTATTGGTATTCTTCATTTAATTCAATTTCATTCAATTCAACCTCTATTAGATAAAAAATATCGTGTTAACAAAAAAAAATATTATACATTGTTTTAAACAAGACAGCGATAGAAATTTGAAAGTTGTGCTTTAGATTAAATGTCAAGTTTTCGTATTACATTTCGACCTCTTAAACTGCATAATTGGCTCTAAATATACACGCGATATAAATAAATAAATTAATTAATTAATTCATTCATTCATTAATCTATTTATTTATTTATGTAATTATTCATTGGTGTCTCCGAAGTCGTATAATAGAAAATTAACGTAATTATTCAGATAAATCAATTTTCGAGATTTAATATACTAGGCGAATCATTAATGTTTATCAATTTATACTCAATGACTTAATTAACACATTAAAGTATAAATATTTCTATTGACCAGATAGTATTTACATTCGTTATTATTTATTGCATTATTGTAATTTAATTGAATATATACAAGTAAGTGTGTACGGATTATATTGTAGGATTCGGAAAAAAAAGGTTTCATACTGTACAAAATATTATAGCATTCAACTTGTGAATCCTTAGTAACTTTATGATAAAAATACAAAGTTAATTATATGTATTATCTTTTTTTCTTTTTTTTTTTTTTTGTAAATAATTAGTAAAATTATTTTTATTTTAATAAAAATATTTATTGAATAATCTTTAAGAAATCGTCACACTATTGTTACGTCTGATTAACATAAATACTATTGAAAATCGTGCCTTTTTAATAAAGCATTAAAGCCTGTTCGTTTACTAATTTCGATGATATTGACGACTAAATAGTTTATAAAAGTATCTCGTTCTTACATTACTCATATTTAGATGATAATTCTTAATGAAAATAATTTCTATCTAATGCAACTGATAAAAATGTTATTTTATACTTTGTAATATGAAAATAAAAATCCTCACATAAAAAAAAACAATTTCAATTAAACGCAACTGTGATACTAATAAAAACAATATTTTTCATTTTTAATTAAATATCTTCGACATATATTTCTAATGTTTAATGTGCACAGTAGTCGTATCGAATTGACTTTATATTAATGTGATATGAGACAGCCTATAAAGGAAAATATTTTCCTAATATCATAATGCTTCGATATTTACAACTTTACTTCCTTTTAGCCACGAAAAAAAAAAAGAAAAATGTGTTGAAATTGTTGTATCTTGAGATGCTGCTAATTTCATACCATAAACTTGCCGAGACCTTGTAAAAAAAAAATCTTAAAATTCGTACATAATTTGCGTTAATTGTACATGGAATAATGAATAGCGAAGAATAAAAATTAAGTCAATAAAAAATTTGGTGCTGTATATTAAACCCTTTGCTAGAGATTCTGAAGTACACGAAGTCTAAAGTACGAGAAAGTTATAGTGACGAAAGAATGAAAAAAGAAATAAGAAAAAATAACTTTGAAACGCAACTATTTACATCGGTTACGATGTAAACGTAGTCGAACTCGAAGCCAAGCATCTCACATCCACCCATGCTGAGCCCAATTAATAAAAAAAAATGTACCTTAGTACCCGATAAGGATACAAATGTCGAATGCCGTGATATTAAAGCCCCGCCTCCGACTTCGACTTCGACCCCGACCCCGACCCCGACCCCAAGTAACCGCGAGTCCCTGACCAAAGAGCCCCGAGAACGTGCCTTCCCCGTAAAGGAGGGGGACGAGCACGCGGGTGGAGGAACGCTCTTGGGACTCGGACCCGCGAGAAAGAAGCGACTGAGATAAACCGGCGACTCTTGTTAACAGGTGTCCCCGAACCGGTGCTGTCTGAAGCAGATCAACAGCTGATCGGAGCGGGGCCACGCGCACCAGCCGCCAGCGATCGCCGAGCACCGAGGCGGCCTCGCGGGCCCCCGGATACAGCCGCTGCCGCTGCCGCCGTCGTCGAGCCGCTTCACCCGCTCGACGCCATCATGGTCAAAACTTTCCAGGCGTATCTGCCCTCCTGCCATCGCACCTACTCGTGCATTCACTGCCGCGCCCACCTCGCCAACCACGACGAACTCATCTCCAAGGTGAGCATTCGCAACACAACGCCCAGCCTCCCATCCCCGTCGCTGCTCCATCTGGCCTCTGGACCTCGAGAAATATTCCCAAATAACGCTCGGGGCTCGATTGGTAGTCCGAGCGCTGCTGACGCATTATGAGCCGTTGCGTGTCTCTATCGCGCCGCCTGTCTAATTCAACTACTTACCAGTCGGTTCTCACTTGCTCGCACAGCTGTCATTGACCATTGGCCCGATGGACCCCGCGCAGAGTTTTTCCGAGCAATAAATCGAACTTCTTTCAAGTGATGAAACTGGACGGTATGAGCCGCATGACCTAGTAATGCCTTAATTAATGCGCGAAATGAATTAAAATCGCGATAGTTGGACGAGAATTTCGTAGCGATTATTGCCAATGAACGTATAAAATAATGATCGATCGTTATACTTTGCTTTATTCGGAAAGACTTATTAATAGATAATTGATTTCATTGGCATTGCAGTGGCTCGAGAGAATCTATTGAGCGTCGGGTAATGAGGACCAGCAGCAGCACATTATTCCTATGATTATATTTATTTAAGTTCGAAAGTAAATAAAATGGACGTTAAATAGCGGACTATAACTATGTATTTTTGATTATCTTATTAGTAAATATGCAATGATAGCTCGATGAAGTTATTTAAATAATTAGATATTACTCGGATAGCTTCATTAGAGCCGAGCCAGCCACTTGTCGAACCAACCTTTAACCCCGAGTGCAAGCAAAAGAAAAAAAAAGGAAAAGAAAAACTTAAATAGAGATTTTTTGAAGAAGAGAAAAAACAAAGCATTGGTCACACATATATATATATATATATTTAACAAGTAGTAATAGATTTAAGATGCCAGACGAGAATATTAACATAGACGCAAATTATCATTACATTAATAAAGACAACGGCTTTATCAATATTACGAGACAGTAATAAGATCAAATAATTTTTTTTTTTATCCGTTTTCTTTTATATTCTGTAGAGTGCTAAGGCTAATATGGACTAAAAATCCATATATTATGAAAATAACTAAATATAAAATTTAACTACTTTTAAAAGTTTGGATGTAAATTTACAATTAATATCATTAGATAATGTTCCACAAACATTGTCCTTAATATATAATTTCTGAAACTATTTAATAATACAGTTTCTTATGTGTGTGTATATATATATATATATATATATATATATATGTTTGAATAAATGTAATATTCTATAAAAATTTACAGTAAAATATTAAAATATTTCGGAGGAACATTATATTTGTAAATTAGTTAAAATTAAAAAAAAATAGTGTATTCAATTTAGTTTGCTTATTAATTATTAATATACGTGTTTGGCGTCGGCTACGTCTTATTTTTATAAAAAGTTTTACAATAAATATATGAATAAGTGTATATTTGTGTGGGCGTGCACGAGTGCGCTATTAGGTATAGGTACGGTTTTTTTTATCCCTCTCTTATCATAATGATAAATGAATTTGATAAGATCCTTAAATTATAATCCTTAAACAAAAAATTATTGTAAATTTGTTTATTAAATTATTTGAAATTTCAACAAGGCGTGTATTTTTCATTTCATCTCCTATTTAATCTACAAAATGTTCTCATAAAGATTCTTATACTTACAGTCCTTCCAAGGAAGTCAAGGTCGCGCCTATTTGTTCAACTCAGTGTAAGTAGAACGTCTTTTTTCTCCTTGAAAAAAAAAATGAAAAAAAAACGTCACAGATTTCCTCCAGTTTAATGAAAAATATTATTTGTATACTGTAAAATTAATAGTAATGCAGTTTTTATTAAAAGAAAAATTTTTTTATTAATAAATTCGTAATAATGTGTTATTTGAATATATGACTTATCAAATTAACTTTCAATTTGGATAAAAAAATTGATAAGCAACGGCTACATAAAATGCTTAAATATCTTGCAAGGTTAAAAAATTAAATTACGTACTTATGAGAGTTTTAACACAAGTTTTTATTAACTAAATGAGAAAGAAGATTTATCCTGCTGATAATAAATAAATTTATAGAGTCGAGATAATTTATACAGCTAAATTATTATGTTAAGATAACGTAATCCAACATAATTATTGAACATTTCTATTTTTCTATTTGATTTTGTAAGCTGCATTCTGTAAAAATATTCAAAATACTATGAATCCTTCCATTGTTAACTTTTACCTCTAATGTATTTATATACGAACTTAAGTTAAAATAAAAGAAAAAATAATAAAAAAAATTAATAAATTATCTTTCTATTGTTCTTAATTTGTGATTAATTGTGTTAAGAATAGAAAAATTCTACACTTTAATCTTAAATTAATTGTCAAATTGTAATAATTCTAACGGACATAATGAATAAAGTTACAATGATTACGCAACAGTAAAACATATGAATATCCAAGTAAAACGTATCTCGGTCGGTACTCGTTCCTATCTAGAAACAAAATCCATTCGAAAGTCTATAAATAAACAATGCATTCACGTTTGCATTAGTCTGTGTAACCACCAAAGTACACCACTCGTGTCTTATTGAAATTATAAATTCCAGTCACTTTTGAAGTGCAGTTTTATAAATTTAAATTGAAGACGATGCTATATTCGATGGCGGGGTGCTCGAATTTGATAATCAGAATCGAAAACGATCGATTGTACAAATTACTATAACATCGTACAAACACGTTACATAATAGTAAAAGCAACCGAGCCACCTGACGAAAATCCTATACCAATATCAACACTGATTAAAGTAATGAGAAAAAGTAGTGTGAATTAGAGATTAAAATTTATTTGGACAAAGCGCGAAAAAGTCTGGTTTATTTGAAGGTAAAGTCGGCTTTAAATTTCCATGAAAATTGATTGTATCGATCGGAGTGAATGACACTTTAGATATTCATATAACGTAACCCCGAGTTTTATTCACTTAACAACAGTCAAGAAATCCCATCAGGATTTAAATGAGGTAAATAGGAATCTCGAGAGCGCGTTCGGCTCACCTCGTCCAAGACCATTTCCCAGACTTCGAATCGAATTTTCATAATGTTCATGTCCGTATTCGAGCACGCCGTCGGAAAGCTTAGCGAGCCGTCGACAGGAAGTCACGTGTTACGCGCGTGCCCATTCTCATGCACACAATCTCACTCTCTATGTCTCTCTCCCTCTCTCTTTCATTGTCACAGGGTGAACGTCGGCTGCGGACCCGCGGAGGAACGAGTCCTGCTTACAGGACTCCACGCCGTCGCCGACATCTACTGCGAGTGCTGCAAGACGACCCTCGGTTGGAAATACGTAAGGAGGAAATATAATCCGATGCAATAATCGCGCCAAATGCTTCTAATCAAATGCACGGCAATTCGATTGATCTTCCCTTGATCCCATAACTCCCCCCCCCCCCCCCCCCCCCCCCCCCCCCCCCCCCCCCCCCCCCCCCCACCA